TGACTTCCATATGAATGCAAATGAGACCATGCAGATAAAGCAACAAAGCCATATAGAATTTTTTAGTGAAATTTTGACCTCCGTATGAATGCAGATGAGATCAGTCAGATAAAGTAAGGAAAGAAAATTTGACAATTATGAGATCATTCAGAGAAATTATGTATCTCTGAGTACTGGTATGACCGGCATCACTCATATTGACTGAGAGAAACTCTGTATCTCTGGGACCACCCAGAGATACAGAGTTTCTCTCAGTGGTCCCAGAGATACAGAGTTTCTCTCAGTGGTCCCAGAGATACAGAGTTTCTCTCAGTGGTCCCAGAGATACAGAGTTTCTCTCAGTCAATATGAGTGATGCCGGTCATACCAGTACTGCAAGTTGTTGAGGAACGAGGACTTCAATAGGGTGTTCCCTTCTTTTTAGGCGTCTTCAATGGGGTGGTTGGTAGTATGTTTACATCTTTTAACTTAGATTTTGTTTAATTTATGTTTTTATAATATAAATATAAATTAAAGATATAATAAATATTTTTTTTATAATTAATTTATATTAAAAATTATAAAAATTAATATATATATTTTAATAATATTAATATATAAATAATTTTAATTAATTAATTAATTGAATTAATATTTATATTCATATTTATATTTTTAATATAAATTAATTATAAAAAAATATATTTATATATCTTATCTGATGATATAAGGATATAGATAAAAAATCCTTTAACTTATCTTTACATCAAGCAACCAGTGAAGAGCAACCCCCATAATTGATAGAGTGCCTAGTTGCTGTTGGTTTGTTAGTTCGGACTCCAAATCACATATCAAATTTATCTATTCAACCGTAACCAGTGATGCAAATTGTCCGACTTTGCAAGCTTCTTGAAATTTATCCGTGTCTAAATCTATCGGCTTCCCCTCCCGATCCCCACCCAAGGCAGCAAGTGGTAAGTTGCTTTCAGGCATCCATCACAGTTGGTGACAGTTTTAACTTCAACAAGGCAACATGCGGCACCTTGTGCAGTGTTATAGATTCATTAGGATTCTCAAAGAGTTATAGATATATTTTGGATTTTGCTGAGTGCAGTGTTGAGTACTTTTTTATTTTATTTTATTTTTTCGTTGCGATGATTAGTATTTTTTTTTTTTAATTGAGAGTAAAAGAAAGGAAAGATAAGAGTAAAGGAACTTAAACCTAGGTCATGTAAGTGAAAAAGCTTATTCAATGAATATATGACTCATACAGTCACACATCAAAGTTATTATGGTATTTAATACTTTAGTTTATACTTAAAAA